GACATATTCACTTTGATAATAGAAGTCAACAAAGAGACCTGTCCAGAAGAAAAAGGCAGTGAATTAAGTTTAGTTCCAGTTCTTTAGAAAACAAATAGCTGAGATTTCCATTGTGGACATAATAAAGAACCGCTATGAGAAGAAAAGGAGGAAAATTATCATCACCATTTTAAATTCTAATATCATTTCCTAGACTTCTATGTCTTTATCTAGAAGAGAAAAACAGAGGAGCAGAAGGATAGAGAGGGGAAAGGAGAGAGGAAGGAAGGAAGAGTATTGGGGAGAATAGAGAGGAAATTCACAAGTGTTCACTCATGTATAGTCAGCTGAGTACATACTTATCCATTCTTCCTCTTCAAACGCCACTGAAATGACAGAAAAAGAGTACCCAAAACCTCAGCTTGTTACTTTGAAAACAGGCTAGGGTAGAATCATTAACCAATCAAGGATAAATTTCTGGTATAAAGAAAGCAAATGATAACATATTTACATACAAGGCCTAGCACAAAAGGCTAGAGCACAGATGAGCTACTTTTCCTGGAAGAGCTCGGGCTCACAGGAATAGCTTGAGGACCAGTGAGGGAAGGGGGCAGAGGACAGCATGAAGAACAGCTGCTCCTTCCCACCCAAGCAGAGCATGTATACAGTGTTCATTAGTCCTGGAGAAGGCCAAGGCTTCAAGTGAGGGTGTGTGCTCCAGAAAAAAAGTCTTTGTGTTTTGATGTTGGGGGTGAAACCCTGATTACTTTGTTTTCTGCCCATGATTCTTAAAGATGACCACCAATTGATATGGCTTGCTCACTTTCCCAGACATCCTCCGAGTCAGAGTGACATCTTTTGGGAAAAAAACAATCTACCCAATGGTAGAGGAAATCCACATAATCTTCTTCAATTCATTAACTTAGTCTTTCTTTTATAAATATGAATAGGTAACTAATGATAACCAGATGCTAGGGAAAACCAACAGCACCAAGAAATAGGGCTCAGATGAATAAATAAAGTGATGGACCAAAAAGAACCCAGATAATTAAGGTAAGACACAATCGTTTTTAATTCTAGCTAATATCCTCAAAGATATTAGGAAAAAAGGAATATCTATAAAGTAACTACAAGAATTTATGCAAGAAAGGAACATGAGGAACTTTGATTCCTAAGTCATTTTTTCTGAGTGGCAAAGTTTTTCTTACATAGGATTACATTTCTTTTTCCCGAGGTCCAATCTTAATTCTTGACTCTGCAATGAATGGTATAAACTAATAATAATGTTTATATGTTATTTGTTTTTATTAAGCCATAAGCAAAGCTCAGAGTCTTTTAGTAAAGTTATAAAACAAGGATAAGGGGGGCCGTGAGGGTAAATGCTATAAATGCTAGTAATGGAAAAGTCCTGGTGCGGTTAACAGCTGGGAGCTGGGGGCAGTGAAGGGTAGTGGATGGTTCTTACTTCCTCATTTTATACAAAGAATTAAGATACTGTCTAAAATGATGTAACAATTAAGATAATTTAAACACAAAATTTGAAATTATATGAATTATATTATTTAAAAATATGTTAATTTATTAAATAGTTCATATGAATTATATAACCAATAAAAGAGCTAAAAACTATAGAGCAACCAACAAAACCTGGGAGAAGAATTGGGCAAAAAATAAGTAATGTGAAATGAATTACTGATCTGTCACAGTGAGTTACGAAGGGCTATAGTCGTAGGATGCTAAATCAAGAAAGAGAGAGACAGTAGTTGTACTGAGAATTAGGTGCGGCTGGCTTAACATCAGCCACTCTAGTAGATCCTAATATTTACCCAAGTCTTTTACCTACACATTTATTAACAAGCTCATTCTTCTCAAATACAATTCCAAATGAACTCAATGATTGAATTATTGGGAAAAATTACATTGTTCATTTGGAAATACAAGTTTAGAAAGTCAGGAGCAGACTTTATAAAAAATTATGATGATGATATTAATGGTCACTGACTTGACCAAATGTGGAGCAGATTGCCTTCTTTTGAAAGTAAAAGGTATATTTGTGTGAAGTGGAAGGGAAAGACTGTGTGGTCTTAGAATTCTAAGTTAATTGCAGTGTTTATAATGTAAATATATGTCACAAAGTAGTCTAAATTATTATATTATTTTCATCATATGCAATTGTGTTGACTATAGCTTGTAGCTTATTTGTATCTGGTGCTTCTTTTTACTCTCCCCATTTCTAATCATCTCTTCTTTAATTTTCACTCCCCCTTTTTTCCTGGCAGTTATTTTATTTATATTCTCAATGTCTTACATTTCTTAAAACTTTTGGACTGTTGATTTTAAGTAAGTGAATGCGTACAAGTCTTATAAACAGTTTCATGTTCAAAATGATGACACGTGCTTAATGTAACACATTGCAGAAATTCTAAGCTTAATTCCTAAAAGATTAAGTAAATAAACACTCTGAAAGACACTGACTGACCTTTCAGTGTCAATATTTACAAAGCAAGAGCCACAGCTTTCACGTGATTAGGGAAAGCTGGTGCTCTCATAGGCTGGAAGAGAGTGTAAAAATCACATCTGCCTAAACAGAGGCAGAGTCTAAGGATGAGTTTACTACCTAAAGAACCAAGAATAATGCAAAGTGATTATCTCTAGTTGGTGTAACAGTGGGTATAAATATAACTTTTCATTTGCTATCATTTTGTTCTGTTTAAATTTTTTAAAGATATATTTTATGGATTATACTATTACGGTTGCCCCAATTTTCCCCCTTTGCCCCCTCTGCTTGTTACCCCCTCTCCCTCCAAGAATTCTCCTCCTTAGTTCATGGACATGGGCTGTGCATATAAGTTCTTTGGCTTTTCCATTTCCTACACTGTCCTTAACCTCCCCCTGTCTATTTTGTAGCTACCAGTTATGCTTCTTAATCCCTTCACCTTTCCCCTCATTCTCCCCCCACCCCCTCCCAGCTGATAACCCTCCAAATGATCTCCATATCTATGATTTTGCTCCTGTTCTGGTTGTTTGCTTAGTTTGTGTTTTTAGATTCAGTTGTTGATAGTTGTAAATTTGTTGCCATTTTAATGTTCATAGTTTTGATCTTCTTCTTTTCCTTAAGTAAGTCCCTTAACATTTCATGTAATAATGGCTTGGTGATGATGAACTCCTTTAGTTTTACCTTGTCTGGGAAGCACTTTATCTGCCCTCCCATTCTAAATGATAGCTTTGCTGGATAGAGTAATCTAGGTTGTAAGTCCTTGCTTTTCATCACTTTGAATAGTTCTTGCCAGTCTGTTCTTGCATGCAAAGTTTCTTTTGAGAAATCAGTTGTCAGATTTATGGGAACTTTTTTGTAGGGAACTCTCTTGCTTTTCTCTTGCTGCTTTTAAGATTTGCTCTTTATTTTTAACCTGTGCCATTTTAATTATAATGTGTCTTGTTGTGGTCCTCTTTGGGTCCAACTTGTCTGGGACTCTGTACTTCCTGGATTTGTATGTCTATTTTCTTTGCCATATTAGGGAAGTTCTTTCATTATTTTTTCAAATACATTTTCAATTTCTGGCTCTTCCTCTTCTCCTTTTGGCAACCCTCTGATTTGGATGTTGGTACATTTGGAGATGTCACAGAGGGTCCTTATAGTATCCTCATTTTTAAAAATTCTTTTTTTCTTTCTGTTCTGGTTGAATGCTTACTTCTTCCTTATGTTCTAAATCATTGACCTGAATCCCAGCTTCCTCCCCTCCATTGATGGTTCTCTGGAGATTTGTCTTTATTTCATTTAGTGTAACCTTAATTTCTTCTTTTATGTCGTTGACGTACTCAATGAGTTCTTTGAGCATCCTGATCATCGGTGTTTTGAACTCTGCATCTGAAGTTGGTTATTTCTGTCTCATTTAGTTCTTTTTGGGGGTTTATTTTCTGCTCTTTCATTTGGGCCATATTTCTTTGTCTCTTCAATTTGGCAGCCTCCCTGTGTTTGTTTCTGTGTATTAGGTAGAGCTGCTTTGACTCCCTGTCTTAGTTGCATGGCCTATTGTAGAAAAGGCATCTGTAAATTGTGTGGGGTGGAGCCTTAGGTAATTGCCAGGGTAGGCAACCCACTTCACCCCTTTGTGGTTCTGTGTTGGGGGAGGGGACAGTTGCACTGCCTGGCTTCTGGAGGTTTGCCCAGCATTTGCTCCCTTTCTAGTCACTTCACCCACTTCCTGTATGTAACCTGATCTCCCAGCTATTGCCCTGGTGATGAATCCCAGGGTGACTGAGTTTGTATAGGTTCTAAGACCATGCAGGCCCTTTAAATGGCGTCTCCTGAAAATCTGGCAGTTTATTCCATTACCCCAACCCCCACTGGTTTTTACAGGCAGAATTATTGGGATTTATCTTCCTGGAACTGGAACCTTGGCTGTGCAGTCTGGTCTAGGACTGGGATCACTTGCTCCCAAGGTATCTCTCCCAATTTTTATCAACCACACCTGAATGTGAGACTGTTCGTTCCAATATTGCTGCTGTCTCTCCGCACCACAGCACATCTCCTTGCTCTCTGCCAGTCTCCATATCTCTACCTCTTCACCTGGATGAGTGTGGCTTCTTTACACTCTTGGTTATCAGACTTCCATATGGCTGGATTTTCTGACAGTTCTGATAGTTATTTGTTTTGAATTTAAGTTGTAAGTCACTCTCTGGTTGTGTGAGGAGGTGAAATGTATCTACCTACACCTCCATCTTAACCATAAGTCTTCTGTTTGAATTTTCATAAGCAGCTGTGTCACCGTCAACACCATAAAACCAACACCATCCTCTAGAGAATGTTTATGAACACATGTACAGTTTGGATATGTAATTTAAGTCTTTCAGATTTTAACTTATTTCAGTTAGAGGACTCTTTTTTACTTTGGGGCATCTGATATGTGATCCACTCCCCATTTCCTGTATTTTATATTTCATGTTAATATCTAATAATAGTTACTAGACAGAGAATAGATGTGAATTTCTACCTGAAATTCACATCTACTACTATAGTTCAAATGTACTAACCCCAGAATATAATTTGAAATATGGCTAACAGAAAACCTCACATAATGAAGTCAACAAAATGATAAGAGGAGCTTGTTGCAAAACATTTGTAAATGTAACTCAGTGCCAAAACATTGTTTTTCAAAGTCAAAGTAGAGGCAGACAGAGTTCACAGGAAATTGTGGGATTGAAACATGCCTGAAGCAAAGATCTAGAGCAAACATCATGAGCCATTCCTCATCACCACAGTCATTGGAGATAGATGCTTGTGGCTTGGGGAATTATTCTCATTTCCAGTTTGTGGGTGCAGGCAGTGAGAGTTCCAGAAAAGAAGACATGTTTTCATGACAAATCAGTGTCAGTCATTGTCAAGACTTACACAGCAGTCCTCACAAGAAGGATTCTGAAGTACATTAATTTATTGAGACCCTGTATCTTCCTTGAAGGTAGACAGAGATCTTCACTATCAAGTGGATTGCTGTGGTCGAGGTGCACACTGGGTGCCATGGGAGATCAGAGGGCAATGCTCATACCAACTGGAGTTAAGGGAGGCTTCCTGGTAAAGGTAATGTTTCACTTGTGTCTGTCCTATTTCTTTGTTTAGTGGCATTTGCTCATATAAAACTTCTGAATAACACATGAAGACATAAACAGAGTAACTCTCACCCAAATCTCTTTACCCTGAGATAATCACAATTGACATGTTGGTGAGTCCCCTTCCAGGTGTGTATGTATGTGTAGACATAATTTTATACAAATGTGGCCATATTCCATGTGTTATTTGGTATCTTGACTTGTTTTTTATTCAACATTATATTCTGGATATCTTTCCTGATCAATGAATGTAGAATTCTATCACTATTTCATGGCTACATAGTATTTCATTATATTTCATGCCTCAATTTGTTTAGCTAGTCCTTTATTAAAGTATAATTAAGTTGTTTCCAATTTTTTCACTGTTTTGAATAATGCCATACTTAATATCATTATACATACACCTACACCTTTGGATACTCAGGCAATTATTCCACAGATGATTCTCTGGAAGAATGGCTAGATCATGTCATGCACACTTGATATGTTCATTCACACAAATGCCAAACTGTTCTCCAGAAGAGTTTACCAATACAAATTCCATGTTTTCCTATGCCTTTGTCAACATTAAATTTTATCTATTATGTGTTTGCCAATCTAATAAATGAAAAGTTGTTTTTTATTCTAATGTGCATTTCATCAATTATTAATAAGTTTAAACATCTTTTTACTTTTTTGCCTACTTTATTTGTTTTTGTAAATTACATGTGTATGTTTTTTATTGGGACTTTTCTCAACATCTGGTTGATTTGTAAAAGATCTTTTCATTCTAGGGATGTTAATGTTTGCCTGTCATAGGTACTGCAATTATTATTTTTTGTATTTGACTTTAATTATGGTTTGAAAATATTTGAGTCAGGTCTATGAGTCTTTTCTATTTCCATTTTGACCTTTGTGTGGTGTGTGGGCTGTCAAAAGGCCTCTCCACATCACGATTTCTAAAAACCCATAGCTTCCTCTATTACTTTTAGAGTTTTGTTTTCATGTTTATATATTTATAAGCTATCTAGAATTAGCTGTGATATAAAATGTGAGATAGAGTCTGTTAGTCACCTATGTGAGTGATCTCTCTTCCTTAATTTAAAATGCTGTGTAGTAATATAGTGATTAAGAAAGTAGGTCTTGGAGTGAGGCTGTCTGGGTTCAAATTCTGGCTTCAGTGCTTACATTTTGGGGAAACCTGACTTCTCCTATACAGAATGGGGATAATAACAATACCTATCTTTTGGAATTGTCAGGGCTTCTTCATACGTTGGTATCTGTAAAGCACTTAGTAAAATACATGGCACATAATAAAACCTCACTAAATAGCTATTATTGGATATCGATTCACATGTTATGTGAGATAATGATACTAGACTGTTCTGTTATACTCAGTAAAGTCTAGAAATTTATAGGACAAGTTCTCTTATTCTTTTTCAGATTTTTCCTGATTCTTCTAACATTTTTATTTTTCTAGATGAGCTTTAGGATTAGTATTTCAATTCCCAACAAGCTTATTCAGGTTTTGATTGTCATTATAGAGAATAGTTCCTACTAGGAAAAAATGATTTCTTAACTTTCAGTTTTTCTTCCCATTAAAAATAGGTATGTTTTCTACTTATTCCAGTGTTTCTTTATGTTACTTATAAAAGTTTATGGTTTTATTCACACAGAGCCTTCTCATTTCTTGATACTGGATATTCTGAGCTCAGACTCAAAGGATGAACAGGAGTAGTATCTCATTAGGTACCAGGGGTCGTAGTTATGCTTAGAACACTCATAGAAATAATATTCGTTAGTCAATACACAGGAGATATGAGCAGTAAGCTCAGCTGGGAAAAAAATGTGGTCTTTCCTGCAAAGAAGTGGAGTGGGGCAGACTGCCAATGTAAGAAATATTTATGCAGCTGTTGCCTGAACTAGTGCAAGAAACTTCTGGAGACTGGCAACAATATGCATGTTCAGCTTCTTCTGAACCTACTGACTTGTTTAAAAAATATCAAAGTCCAATATGCTTTTAATCTGTCTGTATAAAAAGATTTCGAATATAGATTGATGCGTGTTTGTGGGTGTTTTGAACAGAGCAAGACCTAGGCAGGTTTGTGAAGTGGTTCCAGTTTTCCTTCCTTTGCCATTTGATCTCATTTTCAGCCCATCCTACCTCAATTTCAGAACCATGACCTTGAAATACCATCTCTAGGGTTTAATTCCCTGCCCAGGTACTCATATTCTGTGTCCCGTTCAGCCTAACACTAAACAGAACCCTCTCCCTCAAATGCCTCGACATAACTAGCTGGTTTTAGTCAACCTAGCCAAGTGAAGAAATAGGCAACATTATTCTTACTTCTTCTAACAGAATATACCACAAAACACTTTTAATCCAGAGTTGTCTATCAGATCTCATAATTTTAAACAGATTTATGATTGTTCATCATGTGACATATGATTACTGGTCTCTACACCACCTAGGACTAAAGGGTTGAATTCTCCCCTTCACCAAGCCCTTTGAAAATATTATGTATGTTTGGAGCAGGGCATGACTCCAGGGCATGAACACAGGCAGGAGTCTAGGTCAGGAGTCTAAGGGCCTGAGTCCAACCTACAACCCAACTGTTGAAAAAAACAGTAACTAGGCCATTGCTTTTCTCTGTCTAACCAGTTTAATCGATCTTAAACCTCCTATGAGACAGCCAGGAAGACAGAGTTCATCCAGTGCTGCCCTCGCATTAGTTAAAATTTATACACCTCTTCAACTGAAAAAAACCCTGGCGGTTCTGTTAATAAAGTGGTTTCCTCTATTATTCAACATGGCCTACAAGGACTGTAGAAAGAATTATTTTTTAAAAAAAGCAAATAAAGACAGAAAACTGTACCTGAATAATAATTAAAATAAAAATTTCATTAAAAAGCAAATAGAGTACAATAACTTTAAAGAGCGAACTAATTTATTGTGCAGAAAAACAGATAAAATGTTCTAAAATTAAATTGTGGGGATGGTTGGCAGTTCCGTGGATATACTAAAAACCCTTTCATTGTACACTTTAAATAGTATGATGTGTGAATTCTGTTCAAATAAAGCTGTTTTTAAAAAGCTATGGAAATCCAGATACTTTAAAACCAAAAAGTCACACACACACACACACATCAACACAATTATCAGTTATCTTAATTTGGCAGAGTAACTGACTGCTATAAATAATAACAGCTAAAGTAGCTGGAGTGGATTCTTTGGAGTTCATGTTAAGTCTCATCTAATGTTCACAATAAACATATGAGTACAGAAACACTATTATCACCTTCATTTCAAACATAAGAATTTGATGCTCAAAGGGGTTAAGTACCTTGGTTAAAGCTATGCAGTTAGAGATGAAGTTGGTATTTAAGCCTCAGCATCTGTCTCCAGAGCTCAGCTCTGAATCACTGAGCTACTCCAAGGACTCAGGGCTGGCTTGGTTTTGACTGCCCTTTGCTGTGTAAACGGCAATTATCCTGAATGCTAGTTTCATCTCCAGAAGACCTAAACAAGTTGTTTTATCTAACTTGGCCTAGTTGTGGCTTGATTTTTTTAAATAGTATATATAAAACAGTTATTTACATTTAATAAATTCTCAATGATCTTTACTTAGTTTAATAGACATTTTCTGAGAAAAAAGTCTATCAGATTTTGCAATGCGAATTATATTTCCAAGTACCCAGAGCTAGAGTAGCTTGCTGTGGAAAGGGATCCCCATGTGTCTTACATAAATAAACAAAAATGGCAAATATTTTCCATATCTCTAAACCCATATTTGTTTCTAGAAAGGTACTCTGAAAACAGTCATGGAGTCAGATTTCTCTGCATTTTTAGGAACTCCAACATCATTATCAATGAATATGTATCTCACTAGCTCAGAGGAAAGAAATGAAGGTTTATCACATTGGAGAAGAATGCATGAACTCATTCCTCTGTAAATGAACTCAGCCTCCAAATAAGTAAAAAATAGACTTGGATTTTACTGTTAGCTTACACAAAGAAGAATAACTTATTATTATTGAATGTTCAATTTAAGTATTCTAAAGGCAAAACCAAGCCTTTGTCTCTTGCAAGAAATCCTGTACTAAGAGCAAGAAGAATGGCTACTTATGAAAAGTTTGACATAGGTACATTCCTAAGACTAAAATTTGAGATTATTTCTCTCCCTTCACTTTCAACAGGGCTCAAGGGTGTGTGAAGTGTCCTTCTGCTATTCACAATCCCTCTCCTCCAATTCCCTGGCCATGAGCAGCCCATGGAACATCCGTGAAAGAGTTGCCATGATGTTCCAAATATAAAGCTACATAATCTAGTTATTATTATAAATTTAACAAAGTAGATATTTAGATAAAACAATAATTTCAACCTTCTGCTTGTTGATTGGCTGGGAAGTTTATAACACAATTTCTTGGTGTGGCAGGTTGATTTTATAGTACCATTTTTAGTTTAAAGAAGTAGGCTTTAATTGGTTGTCTATTCAAAGCCCCAAACAAACCACTGGAAGGAAGGTCATATAGCACACAGAGAGAGGAATAAAATAAAATCCTCTCATTCTAGGAACTTGCAGCCTGGTAGACAGGATAAGACAGGCATGTCAGTAACTCCAAAGCAAGGTGTACTCGGACCGGCAGTCAGTTATGATGTTTGTTAAGTGTATACAATGAGTCCATCACTTTGTTAGGGATTGTGTTAAGTGGGACAATAGAGATTTCAAATAAAACATCAGAGATCCTGTTGGGTTTCAGAAAATGACTTCATGGAGAACATGGAATAAGTAAGTCTTTGGACATATAAAATGCATAGTTTGGAAGAATCAATTTATGTCAAATCTATTTTTTTCCCAAAAGAAAGTAGTCTAGTGTGACCAAAAAGTGAGTACCTGTACAACACTGGCAGGTGGTGGGAAACCAGGAGAGTCCATCCATAGTGCAGAGGTCACAAATGCCAGTTTAGTAATTATGTCTTAGTTTAAAATT